TTATAGACTGGAACTTCCAATCACTTCATCAATGATTCTGACCTGAAACTTTCACATTCAAGGGTCATATCAGTAGATCACCATCTGACTTGATAGAAATTGAGTTTTCAATTAAAAAGCTGTTGGAAAGTCTCGAAATAAAACATAAGCAATTAAAGTTTAAAAAAAAGATAGAACAAAAAAATTAAGGGCTGCTGTTTCTGAGTAAGTTTTTGTGTGCTTTCAGATAAATTTATTCTTCGGAAGGAAGCCCGTTTTGAAAAACAGGACAAATTTGCTTTAACGACTTCTTCGATCTATGTCTCAGCTAGCATCTGAAAAATTTGTTACTTACGTTCAACATAATCGAGCAGACTGATTGATGGATTAAGTATCTAAAATCACGGTTTATGAACCAATTCCTCAAAGCTTGTGATATTCCAGTGGGGTAGTTAATCCGTCAAAAAGTCTGCTTATGATTACAGTTTAGTACTCAAAGTTTGATGTCTTGTAAGCCACAGGCCAAAGAAAATGCAACTTTTTGAATTCTAGCAAACAAATGATGTCTTCATTTTTGTCGTTTTTTCTGCAACTAGAGATAATAGTAATAAAAATTCCGCATAATTTGGATGAAACGATGTAGCTGGATCATAAATAGAACAATTTATTTTTCAAGGCTTTTTTACCACTCAATAAACCCATCATTAAGATGTTTTAGGTGCTGAAAAATCCCCATACACAGCACAAAAGCTTGAACTTTTTGGCTTACATGAAGTCGTTAGAAAATCGATGAATTTGGTTATCTATCTCGTTACAATTAAAAATAATTGAAAAAACTATTTGAACCGGCGTCTAAAATTAACCATACCTGATTTTGAGGCAACAGATATTAGAAAATCTAAAAAGCTTATACCAGAAAATTGAAAACATTTGAAACTAACGCAACTGGTTCTTTCCGTCAGCGCGGAATCATCAAAACAATTAGCAGTTTTCTGACGCAGGAGCAAACAATTTTTTCACTATTTTATTTTCTGTCGTTCTTGCGCTTCATATTTGAATTCACAAATAACGATGAAACAAACCTGTAAGTTAGCAAACGTGGATATTAATAGACTGCACTTGGGCTATGCGTGCCTATATGGCGATTGCCGTGATTATTATTGGTAAAATTTCAAAAGCTATCACCAGCTGATTGCCGCGAAATCGTAATAATCATATTATTAATTATGTTATATTCTGCGCAATCAATCTTCATTGATTCGGTATGATTTCGACCTTATGACTCTGTTTCATTTTATGCGCACTAAGCAAATGGATAAAACTACGATCAACGCAAAAAAACCTCAAGATTGCACCTCAAAGTCTCAAAACTTCACTTTTTCACTTGGATTGATTTGCTGTTAATTTGATTTAAAAGGTTTCGAATTTTCTTTCAAATAAATGAAAACGCACTTCCATTTCTGACTGTTCGCGTCCTCACAGGTGTTTGAGCGGAACAGCCCTACAAACAATCTTTTAAGGATCGCCCTGTCGTGAATCGTTCAAACCCTTAGGAAATGTAGTTTTTGTTTTCTTATATTCATTTGTAAAAATCTTCTTTCTTTTTTTACTTATGTAGCCGATACGGCATACGGATTGTAAGTTACGATCAATGATACTACCCCAGTTTCCCATCCCTTCAGAAAATCATTTCAAATGCGAGAAAACACTCACTTTTCAGAAGATAAATTTAGCGAAAAAAAACATGATCAAATTCACAACTTGAGAGAAAGATTTTTTATTTGATTCATATGCCAAACGAGTTCAATTCCACGTAAAAACTTTGCAAGTTAATCGAAGGAAATGATTTGAAACAAATATTTAGTAGATATTTGGTTTTCAAAACTAAAAATCGAATAGTGGAGCTTCTACACTTGGTCATTTAGGGGAAAGGGAGCATGAACTGTTGCTCCATAAATTACAGATTTCGAACTACTTAATTATGTTAAATTTATTCTTCGGGCAACTTGAGTTACTTATCTGACAACAGCTACTACAGGCTATTGTATGTAGAATCACAATTAAGCCTTTACAATCTCGAATTGGGATCCAAAACTCTAGCGTCTAGAAAACTGATTGTTGAATAAATCTACAAATATTTAGGTCGCGCGGGTTTTTTTTTTTACTTCATGAGATAGTCTGAAAATTGCTGACACTCACATTAATACGTTTGAGGATCCGATTTTGATGCCGGATCTTCGCAACAATTTCCCTCTCTCTTTTGGACGGACCTACTTAAGAATCCCCTTCTGCATGATATAGTTTTGGTGTAATTTTAGTATAAAAATTTCATTATCTTATGCAAATGCATCTTTTAACAATTTTTTTTCGTTGTAGTAGCGATTTGTTGTAGCGTTATTTAGGCACAGTATTTAGGCGTTATTTAACTTTCTATCGAAGACAAGTTTCTATAATACGACTAATATGTCACATAAAGTTCAAATTTAGAAAAATTTGAAAAACGAGGATTACTAAGAAGACCGTTGATTTCTCATGAAATCCCCTCAAATTCACTTATACATGATAGGCAAATTACACGCTCTCATAGCATAACTGCAGGTAAAAAGTGAGCTTGATGATTCAAGATTCCGAAATTTAAAAGCATAGGCAACAGACAGTTGGAAAAAGAGTCAATGAACGAAGTAATAAACAGAAAAAATACAGACCTATTTTTTGAAAAAAATCTCAAATTTCAGAGAATAGATGCCTTAAAGACACTTGAAGTTTTAGAAAAATTTATGATTACCACTTTTGTGATAAAATCAACCCAATTTGAGAAAACTGGAAAATAGGTAAAATTTTTATTTCGCTGGCAAATTCGATAATTAAGTTTCACTTTCGAAAGTAGAAGACAATTTATTATTCCTTACCTTTATACTTTCGCTGCTAGATTGTTGAGTTTGCTTTCCTTTTAACATTCTAGTCGAATTTGCCTTCTGTTTGTCCAATTTTTTTCAGGAAAAGTCTTGAAGTTTGTTCAGGCTCAAAAATTTCATTTCCTTTGTTAAAAGGAAGGCAAGCTCAATTATGGAAATGAGCTAACTTAAGCAGAAATCAGTCAAACCGCGATCAAATTTGAGCCTGAACAAACTTCGAGACTTTTCCTGAAAAAAAACGCAAAAAAATCATCGCGACCTATATTAAAGTCTGAACAACATTCATCACAAAGAAAAAACAAAGCCAACAGACAATTGAAAAAGAGTCAATAAATTCAAGGAAACAGAAAACAAACCTGATATGTTATTTCAAAGTAAAAATATAAATTGCTCTTTAAATTTCAATAAAAAAAATTAAGATTGACACGTTCTGGACCAAATCATCTCAATTTGAGAAACTGGTTACATAGGTAAAAAAAATTATTTCGCTGGGAATTCTGAAACTGAAAATTAACTTTCGAAATTAGAAGTCGATCATATTTTTCGTCATCTTTACACTTTCGCTGATTGCTAGTGGAGTTTGCTTTCCTTTTAACAAATAAAATGAACAAAAATCACAAATCAAACCGCGAAAAATAACTTGAGCGCGAACACGTTTCAAGACTAAGGCTTTTCACTGGTAAACACCAAGACCAATATAAGAGTCTTCACTGCGTTCATCGACTTTTTCAAAAAGAAATATTGATCGTTTGCTCAAAATGCAGTACTTCTTCAAAAAGCAAGCACGAACGATTCTTAAAATTAAAAAAAATTGCAGGTGAAGGTTTTTAATGGCAAAACCCAGAGATTTATCTAATAAAATATTTCGAAAAAACAGTTTCTTAGAGTTTTTAAAATTTGTTTGAAAATAAAACACGAATTTAAGTTTTCTGACTTTTTGGCCGAGAGCAATAAAATTCTCTAGTTATGAAACTTATGGCCTTTCAAAAGTGCTGAATGAATTAGCAGATATTAAAAAGCGCTACTATAAGCACTCGTCCTCGAGTAACAATTTGCTACCTTCATTTTACAAGGAAACATACAGAAAAATTGACTCAAAAAAGCTGAAAAAATTACCTTTAAAATTGTTGTCATAAAAACTTTAGTTCGATTTTTTATATTACAACCGACCTGAATTGTTTGACTAATAATAACTAATTTCTATCCTTAAAACCATACACAATCAGTTAACTAAGCCGACAAAACAAAAAAAACGTAATCATTTGAACCGAGAAAAAAACGAAAAAGCAAAAAAAGAAATTCAGAAGACAATTTTCCAACTATAAGACGATATAAAATATGCCAAAACTCATTAAGGCGAGAAGAAAAAAGAAAAAACGAAATTAAAAAAAAAAGACTTACAGACTGCTAAAAACGTTTAAAGTCCCATCCCCTTCATTACACACACACACGTAAACAATTTTTTTTGCTTATTAAAGGACGCAATATAAGGCCAATAAGCCGGAATAATATAAGCCGAAACTTACTGATGAACATTTTTGAATTTTTGAAAAAATTTCAAGATAAAGCTCTGACTTTCTAAACCAATTTACGGTTAAACCTTTTTGAAATTGTCCCAAGTTAGAAAAACTGGACTCTTTTCTGATTAGCACAAATCCGATTTGAGAAAAATTGATATTTAACTTCTCAGAGAAATCTAAAATCAAAATTGCTCACAGCAAAATCCATGATGTGGCAACTAAGCTGACAAAACACGTGTTTTGTCAGCTTAGTTGCTACATGGATTTTGTTGTGCGCAATTTTCATCGTAGTTACAAGTGTTGTTGATTAACTCCTGTACATACTGAAAAAAAAAACAAGCTCCAAGTGGTGACTTGAACCCTAAACCAAAGGGTACAGAGGCAATCGCGTTACCTATAGACCAAGTGGGAAGGTGTCTGAAGGTTCAATAATTAAGCAAGTTCAATTGACGGAAAGCTTATTATGGGAAAAAGTATTCTCATCGGGGAATTAGATGAGACTTCCTCTCGCAAGGGTTAATATTAAAAACAGCTTCATATATATTTTTTGCTTTTTGTAGTTCTTGCCCTTTTCTTCTGATGAAAATAACAAGATTAAGATTTTTTTTATTAAACTAACTTCAACTGTATGTACATGCTTAACATTATGATTTCGAGAGAATTTAAAACGCTATGATATACATACTAATAGTTCCCAGAAAAACAGCAGTTATTTTAATAAATTCGATTGATCCAAGCACCAATTCAACACAAGCTATTCAAGGCCCACTGCTAAGTTTATCTTGCAAAACGTGGAACACGCCGAGCGCACAACCCTCTTCAAAAAATATTTTGGTTCGTATAATTAAAATAACCACAAGACCGTTCGTGAGTGGAAAATTCGTGGCAGGCGACAATTCGTTACAATCGATAACTCGTAACAGAAGATATACCGATGATCACTGATTCACGCGCAGTTTTCCTCTTGCTGGATAAAAGCGCAGCGGAGCAAGCGTACTCTACTTTCTACTTGCCAATGCCTTGTTACCAATTGTCGCTTCTTACGAATCGTCGCCTGTTACGAATGGTCGCCCTGCCAAGACCATTAACACGTGTACCGAAGGTAAGATTTTTGTGTGGTTGCTTTTCTTTCAACGCTATAACGCAGGTACCAAATAAAACAGCCAATTGGCGCATTTACGAAGTGTTAAGAAATGAAATCGCACAAAAACGTCTTAATTTTTTTTTCGTCCGAATTTTTTACAGAAGTGATCAAAATATTCGGTGCCCTGCAAGTTTGCACAGCTATCGGTTATTGTTTTCAAATTTATGCAACTCCTATTCACTATTCATTGCCCTGCTACAACTTAAGCAGAAAAAAAGCAGTAGACCTAAATATAAACTGAGTCCTTGTCATCATTTTTCACATGGCGTCAAAGTGGAACTTATGCGCCTCTTCGCGTTTTTCTGCATCGTCTTCTCGTTTCTCTTGATACTGCAGTATGAGAACAATTATGCCAAGCACCACAACCACACTGAACAAGGCAATTGCGAACTTCCAGATGATGTCACTGGGAGTGAGCAGCAACTGGAACGTCCATTTCGAAGGCTTGTCTGGAGGATATGGAATCAAAATGAGCTGTGAGTTAGGAATCACGTTTTCCATCGACGCTTCCGCCACTTTCCCTCCCTCTCTGGTGGCTAGTGTTATAGTTAGTTTTTCAACGAAGTTGGGAACTTGTCCCAGTCCAAAAATGACTGAAGGCGACTGGAGGGCTTGATGGGTTGATTGAGATAGTTGAGTCCACACTGATTTACGAGACTTGCCATCAGATCCATGGGTTTCGTACCTATTAGAAATAAAAATTGATTTTATTATTCAGAAAATACCCGAACCCACACTATTTTACACACTCCGCAAACACAAGCAAGAAAATCTCAAAAAAAAATCTAAAAGACAAGGAATATTGAAATTAAAAAAAAACACTACTTAAAAAAATTTTTGCTAAAAAAAACTTGTGCCGGAATATAAAGCCGACCTGCAGCTTAAGAATATCACCTAGCATCTACACCATGGTCGCTTGGCGAGAAGACAACATTAGCCATCAATAAAGCAAATAGAACAGATGCTATGAGACATATTATGCCACCAAAGCACATGAGTTAAATAAGCGTCTTCACTTCGTTCATTGACACATAACGCACAAACAAGAAATGATTGCCTTTACCAATTAGCCATAGCGTTTGTAATATTCTTGAATCACGCCTACTTAATCGGCCGTCAAAGAAAACCAACTTCGACATTCAAAAACCTCTCGGACTACGGGATTGAAGCGCAGGTCTCCCAGTCAAGAGTCACTTGTTTTTACTGCTAGGCAATGGCGTCTTGCGACCAATTTTTACAAAGTTAAGGCGGTCTGAAAATTGCCAAACTTAATATACTGCGAGCAAAATGTTCAATTTCCATCAACGCGCAGCATGCGCGGCAAACTAATCCGGCCGAGAAATCATCCCGAATTAAATTGAGGTGTCTCAGTCAAAAACTGCACAAAGCTGTCTTTTGTATGCGCAAGATCAAAAACGCTTTCAAAGCAGAAGTAGCTGTGAAAAGGCCATAAGAGAAAAAAGCCAGAAAAAATGGTAAAGAGTTTTGAAAAATGACCTGTACGGAAATCGAACCTTATTCCTCAGTCATCCAATGTTTCAATCGACAGCCCTACACAACTGTGTAACTGACGCTTAGAGAATCCAAACAGTAGTCACTTATAAATAGGAGAATAGATGTTGGCAAACTGCCAATACTTGCGTGCGGTGAGAAAATTTTCGAAAAAAAAAACATTTTATCAATTTCTTTTACATCAAAGTGCCGACGGAAGATTCAAGTACTTTCCCTGATCCGAGCAGCTTTGTTGGATACTGAAAAATTGCTTCACAATTTATCAATAAGGTGCATTTTTAATGAAAAAAATTGAAAACTCACAACTTCAATATATTAAAGATAAAAACAAAATTTATCGCAAAAGGAACTATAATTGGGATACCAAAACATGAACATTACAAGGATATTTTCCAATGAACCATACGACTATGAATAGAAAAAACGGCCTCGTATAATAGCACAAAAACAATTGTTTATATAGAGGCGAAGCGGAGCTCCGCATCACTTGCGATACAATGGAACCATAGAAAAAATCATGTCGAAAATGAAAAACGTTGAAAAAATACAGGGTCTGCAAGAACTTTCGCATGTCTCGATAAAAATGCATTCTAGGCAAACCTACCAAGAAAGAAAGTCGAATATTATTTAAGCAGCAGAACAAAACTGACGAAGCCGAAAAAAAGCCTACTGTCTTTGAGCAGACACCTGTTGATCAAAATTTTTTTTTAGTAAAACATAGCTATCTGACAGTTGGAAAAGATTAATGAACGCAAAGAAACAGAAAAGAATACTAACTTGTTTTAGAAAAAAAACTTCAATTTGCGAAATTTAACGGGAAGAAATATGCCCTTAAATTTCACGAGCACCATGTTTGACCCCTTTTAAAATAAAATTAACACAATTGAGAAAACTGCATCAAAAGGTTAAACTTTTATTTAGATAGGAAATCTGATCATTAAACTCCATTTTCGAAGAGAAACTTCGATCACGTTTTTCGTAGATATTAGAATTTAGCTGTTCGATAGTGTGATTTGCCTTCCTTTTGACAAAGGAGATGAACTGAATTTGAAAAGAAATATCAAACGAAAGACAGCGAAAAAGTAAATTTGAGCCTGAACAAATTTTAAGACTTTTTCTAATACAGAGTCGAAGCTGCGCTTCGCTAACACTAGCGAGAACACGACAAAAAAGCAGTTTCGTAAAGTGAAATAAGCAAAAAAGAAAAGAGCGTCGAATTAGTAGAAGTTTGCTTATCGGATTCGAACCTGCGAACTCAAGATTTGGAGTCTCAAGCCCAGCCCTCTCGACCACGAACGCTTAGCAACCGGCAAACACTAGTCACAAACAAAGAAGCTACATATGCTGATAAATTGCCAATGCGATGCAACAAAAAAGGCGCCATATACGAATAGACACAATTTTGCATGTAATATTTTGGAATACAACAAACTGAAGGCATATCACGCTAACTTTTCATTTAATAAATTGGAAATCCACATTATGTATAAATTATGCATTTTAAAAAATTGCCTGATATATTGAGTAAAAAAATTCTGAAATCGAGTTTTTCTCAGTTTACTGTTGTTCGAAGAAATAGCTTTTTTGGTTCCTTTGATTTATTAAAAAAACATCAACTGTCTTAACTTATTGCTAATCGAATGTCAAAGCACATGCTATCAAAAAGCCACAAAGGTGCCACTAAGAGAGGCACTTATGTTTGGGACAGGTAAGAAAAAAAAGGTTCGTAATAATACACTACGCTCACTAAAGCTCACAAGAATAAAAAATGAAAAAAACATCACGGCCTATATAAGAGTCTGAACTACGTTCATTACTCTTAATAAAATCATAACTTTTGTTTAAACTGTAAAAATTACCTGATAGTTGGTCCGGGCAAATTAGCCCCGTAGTTCACATCTTCTCCAAATTTACAATCCTCGGCTCCACTTCCTCCTGGTCCACAATGGCCTCCGATAACCATGACCTTCAAAAACGCAGAATCCCCCTTGTCACTTATATCTTTATTCTCCATAAAGTACTCTCCATTTTTGTAGTACGAGTAGATCAAATTATTCCCTCCATCTTCCTTATAGTCAAAGAACGTAGCCGTCTCGACATCTCCTAAATTGAGATCCCGCGTGAAAAGTCCTCTGGCCCCGTTGCACTCATCTTTCCCGACACATTTTATATTTTGGAGCAAGAACAGCTTCGGTTTATCGGACGACTTCAAGACTACCAGAAAGTCAGGATACCCATCGAAATCAACATCCCCCGCTTTCAGAATCAAATTATTCGTCACTATTTTTGTATCTCCCACTCCTTGGAGCATGAAGCTCTTGGACTCTGGTTTGAAAGAGTGAAAAAGTTTCCAGTTGTTCTCAGAATAGTTACCACTGACCTCTTCTACATCATAGTAATAAATTTCAGACTCTTCGCATTTATCGTCAGTACATACTGGGAGCACAATCTCCTGTTTACCGTCTAAATCAACATCAACCACGATAGGAGTTCCATGGACTGACTTGCCTTCTGGAAAGGGGATTTCTGCTCTGCTCTCGTACTGTCCTCGGTCTCCCTCGAATATTTCAAGTGTTGTTTCGGAGCACAGAATAATATCAGGTTGATCGTCTCCCACAACATGGGCAAATGAGTGTCCACAGTTTTGGTTGTACTTTCCTGAGATGACGTTTCCACTCTTGTCTTTGAAAGGACTTGGTTGATATGCTTTGATATTTCCCACTAAAAAACTAACAATTTTATCGACTCGATTACATCGATCCTGCTTAACTTTAAACTCGCTTTTTCGTATTCAAGAAAGGGCCGTGTAGTGCAGGGTTGGATCTGTGAGATCTTTGGCCAGAATCACTCGCCGTCTGACGATTGAAACAGCCGCAGAGTGGGATTTATCTACGGTCGCTGATCGCAAATACGAAAATCTCTTTTCTGCTATTGATGCCAAAAAGTCCTCTTGTTTAATTAAATATCATGACGGGAGCTTAAGTCACGCTGATGAATTCGCTAAATTTTTGCCTTCGGCCACTAACCCGCTATATTATGATTTAAGCGGTGTCAAAATCCTGCCCCAAAAGTCACAACACTTACATCTCCCGGTCGCAAAATGGTTCAAAAAAACCTGATTTTTTCTGAAGTTTTTTTGTTTAAAAATTATTGTATATTTTTTGATATTATTATTTATGCCAAGACAACTACAGTCAGTTAAAACTCTTATTGCCCTTGCGATCCGCACGAGTATAGCAATCGAGGTACAAGACTTTTTTCCCGTATATAACTTCGTTCACAGAATGGTCAAAACTAAAAATGGTTAACTTATGTTCAGTTCATAATGAATTCAATTATTTTTTGTGTCTCCGGCACACATGGCCTGGAGTAACTAATATGCCTGGGATGTCAACGGTCTTATGTTCGAAGCTGAAATTCCGTTTAAAAAATGTCGGCTTATTATTTGACTGCTCATGTTTTGTCGGCTTAGTTGCTACATCGTAGAATTTGATTGTCTTGCTGTACGAACTTTACATTTTACCTCATTTTAGTTTTTTAATTTACTTTTCTTGTTTATAATTGTACCAACCTCGATTTCGTATAATCTCTTTTTTGGTTCACTTGAAAATTTTATTCTGCCCAGATGATTTCGGCTTATATTATAGCGGCTTAATGGCTTTTGAGTCATTTCAAGGAACATAATTTTTGTGCTCGATACATGTTTTTGTATTTTCATTAAACGGCCGTTGATTGTGTTTCGCGACGAGCTTTCTGCAAACAGAGGATCTTTCCAGGCAACCATTTGAAGCTTTATACTGTAGTTTTTTTTTCAATTTGGTATATGTTTTTGGACTTAACGGCTATCATTTTCTTTCCTGTCTACTAGCTTGCAATGCTATTTCTACAAGGTATCGCAAGTGGTGAAAAGCTCCGCTCAACCTCCATGTTCGAGTTCTAGAATTCTTTTGAGTTTATCTGGTCAAACCACACACAAACAATAGACTTAGATGAGGGGAAATATGGACACTTGCTATACAAATAGATGAGCATCGCAACCCTTGCGATACAAAAATGAAAGACGATGATTAATAGCCCATAGACAAAAGACAAAGCACATAATTAAAATAAAGCCAAGAGATATTTGGAAAAAGTCAATGAACGAACGTGTACAGAAACATGCTGACTTGTTTTTTGAAAAAATCTCAATCTTCGAATTTTCAAGAAAAATACATGGCCCTGAAGCTTCTTGAACTTCAAGAACAATTTATGATCGACACTTTCGTGATTAAATTAAGCCAATTGAGAAAACCGCATCAATAGGTTAAATTTTTATTTCGCTGGGAACTTCGATAATTAATTTAAAAAAATCATCACGACCCACGTTTGAACTACGTTTATCGACTCTTTAAAAAACACCTTCAAAAAACCATTTTTCGTCCAAAATTTTTTTAAAATCGCCTAATAAATCCTTGAAAAAAATACCTGCACCATTTACAAAAATTACACAGAGGCGAAGCTTCACTTCGCAACCACTAGCGAGAACACGGCAAAACGCAGCTTTATAAATTGCAATAAGAAAAAGTATAAATAAGCATCGAATTAGTAAAAATTCGACTACGTCTCGGTTTCGATCTGCGCCCTACTCCAACCTGAAGAAAATGAGCCTCAAGCACTAACCACTCTGCAATGGACGCTTAATAAATCACAAACACTAGCCACAAATAAAGCAGAGAACAGATGCTATGAAAACTCCAAGGCTACAGATCGTGATTATAGCAAAAAGGCACAAAAATAAGTTTTACTTGCGGGTTAGATTAGAAAAAAAAGGTTTGTACTAATACACTACGCTGCTGGCTAGTGTAAAAAGGAGCCTTCGGAATGCTAGAAAGAAACCGAACGTTCAAAAAAGTCCCTCATGTGGAAACTAAGCCGACAAAATTAAGCAGACAGACGATAGTCTAAAATAGCCGAACATTTTCAGTTTACAAAAAAAGTGCCCAGCTGGAATCAAATGCCCGGTCTTTGTCGTCTCAAGCATGCGTATTACGACTGCGCTTAAAGTTTTCCTTCATTTTGAATTTATACTAAAGCAAGTAAAAGACGTCTAACATTTTCACGAGCGAATTATGTAACAAAGTTATTTTCGTGAAAAAAGTCTAGTAACCGGTGACAACACCATTACTCATCGCAATGGTAAAAAAAACGGCAACCGAGATTTCTTTTTCCCTTTGCCAAAACAATAACAAACAATTAAAATCATTAACGCTTGGCGTACAGAAAATCTGGCAGTAAGCATATTACACTTACCGTCAATGGTATGAACTAAATTAAAGCCGCCTTCCACATTGCCTAAGAAATCCGGAACCTGGTCTCCATTCACGTCCAAAACCAGAGGCTGGCCATTGAAAACAATCGGCGATGAACCGTTGCCGTATGAGAAAGCTTCCAGTTCTTTTGAGTTCTGGACATCATGGTAGAACATTTTCAGTTCATACATCCGATCATCTTTTGTATTTTCAACCAGAACTGCCAGGTCAAGGGTATTATCGGCGTTGAAATCACCAGGAATTGCACCGACCGCCTGTTCGTCTGTTTTTAGCGACAATTTCATAATCGAGTCACGAGAGACGCGGGATCCATCGCTGTCTTTCTTCTTGTAGAACCAGATTGAAGCAGTTCCATTTTTATCAATCGAAACTATGTCAGTGTATTTGTCGTTGTTGAAATCACCTAGCGCTGCTAGAAGACCTTTCGTATTCGATGAAATAAAACTAGCCTTTGTCACGCTGTGAAAACTGGCTATGGTCAAAAGCAACAAAAAGTTTTGAGTGGTTGTCATTTTTTCCTAATCATTTCCTGAGATCTGAAATGAGCGACTGAGATGACAATCAAAACAAAAATTTGTCTAGACAATCAAATGGAAAACTTTTTACAACTAGTCTAAAAGCTTCAAAGGCAAACCTAAAATTTAAGCAAAATAAAACATTGGGCTATCATCCTTAGACAATGAGTCTGTATGCCTATTGGCTTAATAAAAAAAGACAGCTGCAAAAAACTTCGTTTATAGAAACATTAATCTATTTAATGACAATAGATCATGACAAATGAAGCCACTTTTGACTAACTCAAACAATAATTAAAATCAACGCATAACCCAGAAACGCTTTTAAAAAAGTGGCTCTTAAGTTCAAATACGAAAATGGTAATTCAAATTAAAAACAAAACGAAGACAAATAATTAAGTTAGCAACAAATACTGGCTCAACCAATATACTCAGTTGTACCTACTTCAAATACGGTAGAGCTACTTTGCACTTCAGCACTATAATTAACAGTTCAGAAAAATCATTGCCTTCAATTCAAGGAAACATTTTACATCATTCAGAATCTATTGTAACTTTCGGTAAGTGAATCTTTCAATTGGAAGTGAACAGCCAGATATCTGTATCTCTATAATATGAATGTGTTCCTAAGCCTGAAAAAAATTATGCACATTAAATTCTTCTAAAAGAGCTTTTTCATTTGTTTGTTTGCGATTTTGACGAGCTGGATGACGATATCTTGTTTTTTCCAGGGACTCAGGCATCATACATTTCACAGCAATAAACGTCCACAAATAACTATTCAACTCCTTCAGTGTCCTTGGCTCTATTTCACGACCGTCAATTTTTTGTTACATAGCAAAAAGAAGACAGGTCACAAAGTAGACAAGCCAATCAGAAAAAAAAAATCTTTTTTACTCGATTATGATTGGCTTAAGCCGTGCTTTTTAATGAAATGACAGCACTCCTCATTTCTCTGACCAAATTTAATTCTTAAGTGCCAACATACATTTTAAATTGAAGCACTTTTTTCGGTCTATTATGGTAGCTCCAATAGTCTGAAAATGTAAATGGCTAAACGCCCGTGATCGCCAGTGAAAAATAAACTGAAATTAGACATATCGATTTGGAAAATTGAACTGAATACATAAAATTGAGTAACTGCTACTTAATTTGACCAATTCTCAAAGCTTATTTTTTCGAAATCTGACTAAAGCTTTCAAATTTGGATAGTTTTTGATTTGAAACCTAGCGTTAATTTGATCCTTTTTGTTTTGTTACAGTAAAAAATCAATTTTGTAGATATTCATCGCGTTCAGTTCAGCTTTCATAAAAAAAAACTAGAACAAATCAAGTCTTTAAGAGTAACTATGCTCGAAATAATAACAGACTACTGATTGTTTTGTTAGTGTGTTGCAGTTTCAAAAAAAGTTATGAATCCAGAAGATTCCAATTCCAAGCTGTGCTGACTCTTCTGCTCAGAACATCCTGTTCTTTTTAGCCCGGTTAGAACCTCCTGGCCTTCTTGGAGGGAGGGGCATGCTTGCTGTTCCTGTGTGATGAGCCGGATGATACCTTGTGTTTACTGGATGAGGAGGGCTTGTGCATGGGGACCTGACCTCCCTTCTGACCATACTCCACCTCCTCTCTCATTCGCTCCTTGTCCTCCTTCGCCGCCTCTTCCTCCAAATCACTCCAGTCTTTTCCTTCAATGGAAACAAATAACTTCTTTTTTCTTTTTGACACAAAACCTTCAAAAAGCGAGAAATCATCACCATTGACCAGCGCAGGAATCGAGTATTTTTAGATCAACGGTCCCAATTTCTTAGTCTCCACCAAATATGAGAACAGATTTCAGATTACTCGCACTCGATTGAATAAGACCAGATAATTCTAAAACATTTGGACTCCGAGGCGGATGTAGGATTTTCTCGAGGGGAGGTGGATTTTGATCACTTTTTTTGGTTCGACCAAATGGACTTTAAAACACAAAAAGACATCGTATTTTTCGGCGCCTCTGTAAGACCGTTTTGGGCACTTTTTGGAAGGTATTGACTAAAATAATACATTTTTTTGGGCGCGAGCTTCCCTTAAAATTAGTATATTGGCGCCAAAGAAAAATCATTGGATAGTCGATGTATATTTTAGGCATCCATTCCCCAAATATGCATCTGGTTGGACTCTCGCGTTTTTCTTTCTTAGCCCCCGGTCCTGCTCAGTGCAAGGCCAACCGTTGGGGAGGGAGATGTCATTATCCACATTGCAGCGGCCTGTCCCACCTTGGAGGCGGATGACACTGGGACCCTCCAACAGAGACCGAAGTGGGAATTCGAACGCAAGACCTTCGTTTTGAGAGACGTATGCCTAACCCACTCGGCCTCTGCTGCTTTACGCGTCTTTCTACGACTCTCGCGTTTATTCATTAGTGGGGAGATGCAAAAAAAAATTTGAGCTTTGTAAGTCAAAATGACCCAAAAAATTATTTGACGAAAGACGTGGGTGGTTTTTTGAATAAATTTTTCATGCTTCTTGGAGCTTAGCCATTTTAAATGCATGTAGCGCTGCTGAAACCACAGAATGAACATATATAGCTGAACTTTCTGAGCCACAACTAGTTTTTTTGGAAAACATCTTTCATCCAAAACCTGTTTAGCTACCGTTTTCTCATCTTTTCAAAAATTGCGTATCATAGCCTCAAGTTTAATCTCAGTTCAAAACTCAAATCTATTTACTGGGCCGAACAAAGTGACTGAAAACGAGTGCGGCAGAACAATTGACAACGGATATAACTGGAAAAGATGTTAATTCTAAGTAAGTATTCGAGGTGTTGTATTTTTAACGTGAACAGCCAACGCTGACTCACTAACCACTGGACTCGTCGCTTCCTAGCTCCTCACTGCCGCCATCGTCCTCGTCCTCCTCTCCGGAGTAATCTGAGCCAGACTCATCACTGCTCTCCTCCTCCATCTCTGCCTCGTCGCCGCTGAAATGGTCCTCTAAGTCGTGAGACTACGAGTGTGAATACAGCAGCCGCAGTATGAGCCAATCGTAAATAAGCACCACTTACAAAACCAGCCAAACGCTTCGTCATCTGTAGTTTACATTTACTCTGGCTATTTGCACTGCCGTAATTGGAGAGCGTAATTTGCCGTTCTTTTAGCAAATTTGATAAGAAATCAACAGTAAAACCAAAAAAGTCAAATAAGAGCGCGATAAATTTTTAGGACTTTTCCCAAAAACCAAACGAAACCCACACACTCTAAGCATCTTCACTTCATTTTTTGACACTTAGTAACCCTAATTAATTTTGCACTCGAACCATTCAATCGCCAATGGAAATAGCCAAAAAAATTTCGATACAAAAAAAAACTTTCGGAAATTTTTCACAGTTTATCGAATTGAGATTGTGTGGGCTTCAAATGATATACCAATTAACCATTTAACTGTTTCGGACCTCATTTTGCGCTAAAAAACAGTGAATATAAAAAAGGGAGCTAATACATCTATAGCAATATCCAACCTGACTTTGAAGGTTTCATCCTCAACTTCGCTGTCATCGTCCTGGTCCAATTCCTCTTCCTGGGGATCCAGAAACTCCCAGCCTCCGTCAGCAAAGAACGCTTCGGGGTTGTCTGTTATGGTTTTCATAATCTTGGTCCAGTTCAAAGACTGCAAGCCTTCTGTGTACTTAATGTCGACTGAGTTCAGCCAGTCTTTGATTGCGTCGATAGATGCCATCGGAATCGAAGAGATCATTGCGGGTTTCTTGAAATAATCTTTGAAAATGAACACCATATCAAAGTGTTTCAATGTGAACTGAACTCTTTCAAAATGAACCAGTTCAACTTCTTCCAAAACTACTACAAATGTCGGCCACTCAACGACATTACAGAGCGCACTGCTAGTCGGTTGCAAGAAACACGTGGACCGGTGGGGCACTCCGAAAAACCCGAGCTCTCGGAAAGGCACCTCGAACTCTACCTGGCTTTTGGTCGCTTGCTCAACTCGGTCGATGAAACTCTTGAAAGCACTCTTTAATTTATGCCTCAGAACTCGCTCCTGCTGTTCTTCGTATACATCGTCCCTGTCTCGAGTAAAACTCTTTCCCAGATCTGTTGTAATCTCTCCCACTTCTGTGAAAAATTGCAAGTCAAAATGTTTCTTCTTTCCGATCATCAAGGCGTTTTTGAGATGAAAATGCAACGCAATTATCATTTCCTTATCACATGGTTGAAATATCGCAATTTTTATGTTGCTGAACAGAATGTCGACTTTATCGCCGTTCATACTTGTATATCTGAATCCATTAGTGTGCGATTCTAGCGACCCTTGCAACTTTTTTGACGAAAGAGTAGGACGACAGTAGAGATCTTTCAACTTCGGGTTGCCTTTGGTAGGGTTTATAACCAAGTCCTGCTGCTTAATGATTCCCTCTTTCTCTTTTTCCTCTGCTTCTCGAGCTTTGAATCTTTTCTGCACGTCCTTGATAAGTCGGAACGCGTTGTTCAGATTCGAACTCGGAGCCATCGATTCTCCAGCTTTCTTGATATTCGAAGCTCTGTAGTTGATTTCCTTGATGAAGTAGCTCTCGAGGTCTCCTTGAGTAGGATTTGTCAGAAACCCTGTAGGGTGGAAAAAATTTATTCTGAGGTACGTGTATTCGCCCTCAACTGCTGAACTAATGTTCTTGATTGTCGAGATGTGAAATGGAGTCGCGATTCCCTGTATTGGAAGAATCAAGCTTTCAGTTTTTCGGTCAACGTGTAATTTCATAGTTCGAACCTCAGGTTCAGAAAATGGCATGTTAGATACACTCTTATATGAGCTTTGCTTTTTCCGCGATTGTCCATCATCTTTTTTGTCGGCTTTCTGTGCAAGTAACCTTCGTTTCGCTTGGTCGTTCAGTTGTCGAGAAATCTCGCGTTGCCTTTCTTTTCGTTTCTCTTCCGCTTTATCATCTTGTCTCAATCTGCTCTGCAAAACAGCAACTTTGGCCTTCCTGGTTCCAAGTACTTCATTGACTTTGTTTTTATCATCGTCATCCTCTTCGTCGTCGTCATCTCTGAGATGTATTGACACATTTTTAGCCTTCCTCTTAGCGGTTGTCAGCACCTGAGCGCCTTTTTCATCCACAACTCTGACTGTATCTCCGACGAAAATTGCGTATACACTGTCTGTGCTGTTTTTCGCCTCTCGGTTCTTCAGATTCTCGAAACCCACGCAAACCACCAGAGTCATTCCTTTAGACACTCTAGCTTCACTTTTAGAGTTCAATACAAGTTGACCTTCTCTAAATTCAATTCCAGTTACGAAACCAAAATTTTTTGTAAGTTTCGGTGAAAGCTCTGGTTTTTTTCCTTTAACAAAATCAACTGTTTTACTGCAAATATCAGAAAACTTTGCCCCGGGAATCAGAGATGAAATTGCCAAATCTAATGCATCGCAGCATAATTCGTAAATGTCAGTTTGTTCTTTCGACGGGTTCACCATAAACGTCCGGACCAAGCAAGAACAGTGGCTTAAAAGCCTCAAACCACATTGAATTGTTATGACATTATAGGCTAAATTTCGATCATCGCTCTCAGCGCTGAACTTGAGCTGGTATTTGCCTCCACTTTGAATAATAGGCGGAAAACATGAGTCAACTTCAGATGGATCATAGCCTTGCAAATACTTCTTGTCTTCGCTAGCTTGCTCGATCTGCTCGGAAAATTTTGAGTGCTTAATTTTCCTATCTTTATCAATGAGAACAACTAGCTGATCTTTTATGTATTTAGTGAAGAAAGTTGACGTAAGTTCGCTGGATTTTTTCATCAGTTCCAGTCCTTTTTCATCTTTGGCTGCCAGCAAACTTGCGGTCTCTTTTGACACGTCCACTTTTCCAAAATTCGCCGCGTTAAGCGCCTTGTCCCATGATTTTATAAACTCGCTATCAAATGTATCCTTTACAAACGTTCCCAGTTGCTTTTTACTACCGTTTTCAAGAGCCCCGAATATTTTATCAAAATGCACTTTGTTGTCCCCTTTTTCTCGTACTATCATTTCAACTTGTGGCAGGTTTTCATCTTCATTCGATTGCAGAGGACTTAAGAATTCAACTTTTTTCTTCCCGGTCAAGACAAACAGTTTGTCACGCGCAAATACAACTAGAGTGTCCGTGATTTCGTACCCAAAGAGCCAGACTTGCATTGATTTCGATTTACAGTATACTAGGTCATCTCCAGTTCCTAAATATTGAACTTTTACAAAAGATGTCGCAAACTATTTTGTCAAATTATACTCTATGGAATTAGACTTCGCATACATATTACGAGTTTGCTAAATACTACGGTTTTTAAACCCTTTTCCCTCGGCTTTTTTGAAATCTGAATCATCTTACCGACAGCTACTGCAATGGCATCGCACGATTTCATCTCAGAAGTCCGCCAGTAATTATAGAAAACTTTCAACCGCTCTCGGCATAACGCATCGTTGAACTCCAGGGACATTCTGAATCTGAAACTGAGTTTTTGAGTTATATATCTAATTTTTGTCTCCCCGAAATATAAACGCCGATGTACAATACTAGTACAAAAAAATTTTTAAACTAAGCGAAGGAGCTAATAAAAACTAGTTTTTTGCATGAGGCAGGCTCGCTTGCTTTTTTTTTCAAAAAAAATTACTTTCTTTGCCAGTTGAAAGTTTTTTCAAATTATCACGGGTAAGTCAAATTACAATTCTAATCATAATAATTGTCAAAAACGGCAAAAGTTTAAATAACAAATTTGAAGTATTTGATTGATTGTATCACACTCTAACGAAATATTTAAGATAAATTATTTGAAAGCTTTCCTTGAGATTATTCCATAGGTTGCCACTGTTTTTTAAAAATGTAAGATATATTTTGTAACGGCAAAAGTATTAGCTATTAGCCTAATTGTTGTGATAAACTTATTAAATAGTTTGAGATGGGTATGTGCTAGTGATCACCTGGCTGGACGTTGCACACTTCCTGACCTGACCGAAGTGGACCACTGGTCTTCAGGTAGCGTGCCATCCACGATCTGGTCTGGACCCCGCACTGGAATTCTGGTCTCCTGGTGTGGAACCCGTAGCCCGATCTTGACTCTGGCTCTCCCCTTCTGCCTTCGTTATCTCTACGTCTGGGTGAGACCCCTCCTACGTTAGGCATGCAATTGTTTGCCTCTTTCTTCTCGACCGTGTTTCTGGTTTTAGCTTTCAACCGTGTGCAGAACGGTCACACCCCTGTTGGATCTACTCACATGCTGCTGCTGGCTCGCGAGAAACCTGATCCACAATCACGACAAGAACTGCGGTCACGCAAGTTTAAACTCAACTCAAAGCTGTCGTTTTATAACATTTCTATGCTCCTTCTTTTAAGCGCTGGTGATATTGAAAGTAATCCTGGCCCGGCTGTCGACCCTACTCAGTTGTTCAGATTTGTTAACGCCGCGGAGATCTTAGTCGGGTCGTCTGTGGCCATCTCGGATCTAACCTCCGGTATCTATGATGCTTCTATCCTCAAAGTTGACAACGATCGCTTCTTTGCTCACTTTCGTGGTTGGAATAAAAGCTATGACTCCTGGGTCAACCTTGATCAAATTTTCCAGCTCCCTGATGGTTATGTTCCGATAGGCCGGAATTCTCGCGGTCCTATTTGCCTTCTCGCGCCTCCTGTCTCCAGTCCTATCTCTGTCGCTTTAACGAGTTCTCCTTCTCGGGATGCTCCTGTTAGCTCTGGCCTCTCTCAAGGGATGTCAAGTATGACGATCTCGGCTGAGCTCGCCGAAAGCGCTGTGCCGGATCTTTCTGACGTCATGTCTTCCAGAGTTGACACTGTCCGGTTCGTTCCGATTTCTCTTCGTAACGAGTGGTCTGAGGTTGTTGGTCACGCCCTTGACAACTGCGCCACCGCTCCGGACAATCTGAAATACTGGACTCGGTTGCTCATGCTCCCCAAATGTATCTTGAAAGCCCCTCGCCGCGGAGGCAAGTCTCACGCCGCTAATAACTGCAGAGACATTCGCCAAAGAATCAAGTCCTGGAAGGAGGGCAATATTTCGGACCTCTGGTCTAACGCTACCAAAGGACCTAAAGAGCGAACGAAGAAAAACAGCAAACCTTCTCCTGACTTTAATGTCCGCAGAGCCAAAGAGCTATCAGGCCTCGGTCAGTTCGGCAGAGCAGCTAAAGCCCTGTGTTCCGATGGCCTCGTGTCCAAAAGTGACGAGTCGCTTAAGGACCTTCGCAGTCTTCATCCTTCCGCTGACCCTCCTGTCTTTTCTGGCCGGGATGAATCCCCTCTTGCCTACCAATTCGAATCTGAGTTCGTTCATAAGTCTCTCAAAAGTTTCCCGAGCGGCAGTGCTGCCGGTCCTTCGCGCTGGTTTCCTGAGCACTTTGTTCACGCCGTTGAGTGCCCCACTCCTCAGACTGCTGCCAGAACGTTAGAGTCTCTCAACAGGGTTGTTAATATCCTCGCTGCCGGGCAAGCCCCTTCTAGTCTCTCTCCGTGGCTGTGCAGTGCGAATCTCTTTGCCACCGCTAAACCCAAGGGTTGTGTCCGGCCTAATGCGGTCGGCGAAGTGCTCCGAAGGCTCACTGCTAAATGCCTTGCTAAAGCCGCCAACGCTGAAGCTCGTGATTTTCTGTGTCCTCACCAGCTTGGAGTCGCTACCAGCGGTGGCTCGGAAGCCATCGTCCACGCTACTAAAATGACAGTCAAAAAGTGCTCGGAACATGGTCACCAAGGCGTCTTAACAGTGGATTTTGAGAACGCTTTCAACACGCTAGACCGCACCGAGATCCTCCTTCAAGTTCGCAACCGTCTTCCCGGTCTCTCCGCCTTTGTTGAGTTTACCTACGGTCACCACAGTCATCTGCTGTTCGAGGATGTCATTCTCAACAGCGAGAAAGGAGTTCAACAGGGGGATCCGCTAGGGCCTCTCATTTTTGCGGTCACCCTGCACTCTCTAGTCGAATCTCTCAAGTCGGAAGTCCCCGGTCTCACCCTCAACTGCTGGTACCTTGATGATGGGATTTGTGCCAGCGACGAAGACTCCTTGCTCAAGGCTCTCGAACTCATCACTTCCAACGGCTTGCATCTCGGCCTCAAAGTCAAGCACAGTAAGTGTGAGTTGTGGGCCCCTGTGGAGTTCTCCTCCATCCCCGTCTCTATCCCGAGAGCAGCGTCTAATGGCTTCGAGCTTCTTGGCGCCCCCATTGGTGATACTGAGTTCTCAGTTAAAGTCCTGGACAAACGTATCTCGAAGGCCACCAAATGTCTTGAAAAGTTACCTCTTCTTGATGACCCCCAGCTCTCACTTGGCATCACTCGCACTTGCCTTGCTGCTCCCAAGCTGACGTACTCTCTTCGCACTCAGCCGCCCTCTCAGCCTGTCGCAGCTTCCCTGCAAGTTTTTGATGAACTCCTCCGCGATGCTCTTTCTGTCATAGTTGGCTCACCTGTTCCTGATCTTGCCTGGTCCCAGTCTTCCCTGCCTATCAAAGATGGCGGACTTGGCGTCCGGCAAGCTCGCGACCAACACATCCCTGCCTTCCTAGGGTCTTCGTGTCAGTCAGCTCATTTGGTCTCGTTTCTTACCGAATGCGACATCACTGATACGCCGGAGTTCCTGCGTGCCTCGAACGACTTCCGTGAACAGTCTGGAAGCGTTAACACTCCCGGTTTTACTCAAGAAGCTTTCCAAGAGAAACTCGATAAGGCCACCTACAACGCGTTCTTCTCGTCTCTTCCCGATTCCCGCGAGCAAGCTCGTCTTCAGTCGCTCTCTCTGCCTTACGCCGGCGCTTGGCTTACCGCAGTCCCCATTAAAGGTCTTGGCCTGCACCTGCTACCTGCTGAGTTCCAAGCTGCTGTCAGATACCGCCTTGGTCTTCCTGTGTTCGCGTCTGCTCGTAGGTGCCCCGAGTGTCCGTCTGGCATTCTGGACGTCCTCGGGGACCACGCTGTCGCTTGTGGGGGGAGTGGTGGCCGGATCTCCCGTCACGACAGACTACGGGACATTATTTTCAATGCTACCTCGGCTGCCTCTTTAGCCCCCATCAAGGAGCAACGGAACCTCATCGCTGGAGAACGGTCCAAACCCGGCGATATTTTTATCCCTACTTGGAGCGCTGGTCGCCCAGCTGCTTTCGACGTCACCGTGACATCCCCGCTGCAGTTATCTCTTCTCTCTCGTGCGGCGGAGACCCCCGGGGCGTCCCTGGAAGTTGCTGAGGACCGCAAATTTTCGAAACACGAGAAAAACTGTGAGGAACAAGGAATCAGTTTTTTCCCGTTAGCAGTCAAAACGCTCGGGGGTTGGTCCGCTTTAGCTATCAAAACCCTCAAGTCAGTTGCTATCCTCGCTGATGCCAGACGTTCTGGTTCACGTGACGCTCGTGTTGCCCCAGTTCGCCTTCTCAGAGCCTCTCAGTGTGCCTCATGAGAGGAAACGCCACTATGATTGTCAGCCGGGCCATCTAGTCTTGTGCAGTTTATTACGTTTTTTGCATTCCCAATTCTGGTGCTCCTTTGTTCCTTTGCTGTTAGCGCATCCCCCCTCTCTTTTCAATCCTCAATGATTCATCCCACATTTGTTGTTTGTTTTGTATATGTCTGCCATAGGTTTTATCTTTATTATTGCTTATTTCTATTATATTTAATTTTTTTTTGTAACAGTCGCCTACTTAAGTCACATATGAGGTTAAAGAAAAATAGGCCCTATAACCATTGGCTCAAGAATCAGGGACACTATCTCTTGTGTTTTTCTACCTCAAGCGGTCGGAGCCAATTCGGTTCACTTGCGACATGAGACTATAACCTTTGTTACAGCTTAAAGGCCACTACCAAAATACCCCTCCCCCCACTCTAGAAAATAAGAACGTCCCCACACTTAGGTCTCAAATTACCTAAAACACGCGAACGCCGTTAAAAAAAGGGTCGCAACCTTACGTATAGTTACTTTTTATTAGACAGTGGACCTTTGATCCATTTCAGATGGATCAACCTAAAAATTCTCCCTAACTTAACATAACAATATAAAACACACTCAAGAAGTTTCAATTGGGTACTCACATACCAGCACGACCTCTAGAATTGATTAACTAAATTAATAAGTATTTCTAGAATTGATGAGTAATTAAGTTTAACTCAAGCAGTTTTGCATAAGTCAGTTTTAACCCAAGAGACATGTTTTCGTTCTGGACCATTGGGAGATTTCGGTTGTCCACCTTTCCACCGAAGGTTCACTCTGGTTCATTTCTAATATATCTTTTCTTTACTCGCGATCACTATGCCTTCTGTTACGAGTAAGACAGCTCTACTCTCGTTCGAATTATGTAAAGGCTGCTAATTTTGACAACTTTCCCGCGATTGAAGTTCGAATCTTCTGATCTTACTTTTTGATAATTTCAGTTGTCGCGAGAAACTTGAGCATCACATGCTCATTTCGAAAATTTGAAAAATTGCATTTCACCCCAAAATCTTGATTTTTGCGTTGCACAAGGTCAAACTTCCAAATATAACCGACTGATACATACTCCCCGGACTCAAGATCGATGTCCTCATCGCGTGTCGTCGTCTTTCAGTGAGCCCCCAGAATAACGAGTGTGTCTCAAGATACAGTACCGGTAGTCATTCACAGAAAATTGCAGCACAATTAACTTTATCTTCACCCCAAAATTCACAACCATGCGAAATTGTCACATTTTCGCTATACAGCAATCAAAAATCTGCATACACCTGCACCCCGATTTTCTGCTTTGCAAGCTAATGATTAAAATTTCTTTTTTTTTCATCCAATCAGGAAATTGTCAAGCAGCATTTTGATTTATATAATAGATATAGCATATTAATAGCAATATTTTGGTTCATTAAAATTTCTTTTCCGTGACCTCAGGTTTCATCCGAGTTCGCACTCAAGCCCTTTTCCCTTTC